TTTTCCTTATCCTTACCCTTTTCCTTCGGTGCCACTTGATGGGCGGCAACATATGAATGAGGATCCATGGCGGATGCCTTCAAATGGATGTAGTGCAAATACTCAAAATGGAGCCTGGATAAGTGGAAGAAATCCACTTTCAGGCTCTCTTACAGTTACAGGCGGTATGTATCTGCAAGAAACATCTCAAACCTATGTATGCCAGTTTGTTCATATACAATGTCTGCCTGTGGGCATTATGCTGCATCAGTTGGTGAGAATTCTCTATTTTTAGTTGATATTGCTGATCTATTTGCAATGACAGGTTTCTTTCAGCGACCTCTAGAAAGACCACCTTCAAGGACAATGAGCTATCAACTTGCTGCTAATAACTTACAAGCTAGACCTACAATTTCAGGTGAGACGATCTAAATCAATTCGTCCTGCTTTCAACCGCTCAGAGATGCAATGTTTAATATTTTAATCTGCCATTCAAGGTCATCCTCCTTCACAAATGCTACTATCTCGGCCAGACATACCTTCTGCGGCTCGTTGGAGGCCATCTTGAAGTTAAGGTAGGCTACCTTTTGATTGTTCTTTACACTTCGAATAGCAAGCTGCTAGTGTCTCATTAACATTTTTCTCGCCTGATTTGTCTCTGATTTTCTTATTTCTGGATTGTTATCATAACAGTTCGAACTAGACTGGTCTTCCTTCCACGAAGGACTTTTTTGGCGGTATATTCACTTCCAGGGGCATCAAAACTCTGCAGACTAATTGTCAGGATACTGATGTACATTGTAATTTATCCTGACAAATGTATCACCGGATCATATTCACAATATATGCCCTTAGTTTCTAAGTTGGTTAGTTCTTCCATTCCTCAGATCCTGTAACTATGCCAATAACCATACACAGCTTTTTCTGGCTAAACAAATTCTGAGTTTTAAGTCCTTTGTCTGAGATAAGAACCAACCAACTAAAAACTTTCTTTACTGGCATCTGAGACCCGATCTTAAAAAAAAATGGACACCCAATAAGTGAAGTGTATGCACACAGAAGTACCTTAGTTTGTCAATAGTGATACAATTAGAAGTTCGACCACATTAAGTGCAAGTCTGTCAATTTGGTCTTAATATTGGTTCTGGAGATGGGAGACCTGCTTGTCTAGTATTTCAGTATTTCTTGTTGTTTGTGGGGAAAGTCACTTTGTAGGATTGAACATAAAAAAACTTTAGAATAAACCAACTTAACTAGCATAGTTTATTGCATTTGTGTGGATTCCTGATAATGACTGTAGAATTTGCTGAATGAATGATTTTAGTTATTTGATCTACATGGTCTGTATGTTGTCCAATATCTCCTTAGTATCTGACTTCCTGATGTTTATTGTTCTTCGCAAGGTTTGTATTGTTAAACCTGGAGTGGTGGAGGCGTCGAAGTTCAAGCTAGCTTCCGCATAATTTTGAGGTAAAGACATCTCTTGTTCTTTAGACTAGTCTTTGACTCTTTATGTCTAAAGACAGTGTGAATCTTATATGAGCCATGATATTTTCTTCAAAGTTTATAAGGTGGCTCAAGCTCGCCTCGGCTCGGGTCATTGTGGTTCACTATAGATCTCTGTTTGAGAATATGTGCAGCAGAGATTCATGTTTCCGTTGCAATTTAACTAAAAACACTTGCAAAGCCTTTTTATTTTATGCAAGAAGGTAATCGCCATTGAAACCCCTGCAGCATATTCTGACAACATCAAATTCATACTTATAATCATGATGCCGACAACTAGAGGACCAACTGATGTCCCAGTTCTTAAAAGACCCCATCGTTCTCCCATCTGATCCATTGCAATTCTTAAAGAGAGCCAACTTCGCGGAGATGAATACACAAATGAAACTCTATCTTTCTCTCATCTGATCCATTGCAGTGAAAAAAGCATGAAAGATATTGTCAGTGTATATCCAAGAATGGAAGAAACATGGTTTTGTCTTAAGAACTGGTACATCAAATGGTCTTATGGTTTCCGGTATCATTTGTGATCTTGTCAGAATATGCTGAATGCAATAGAGGTTGCACCAGGTGGAAGATCAGACACATCTAAGATTCCACCGCATGAGTAGCTTAGATTCTCCCACAACATTCCTGCAACCCAATTGACGGGGAAAGAAGGGGATGGCGAAATTCTGTGAGAAAATCTAAGCAACTCATGAGACAGAACCTGAAGAGTACTAATGATTTTTATGTGAACGAGTTTTTTTCCTGCAGGAATGCAAGTTTTCATTTCCCTGGTTTTTTTTTTATCTTCTCACACTTTTGGAGATGATGAAGAAGATGAAGATCTTCCAAGCACATCACCGGAAGTTAAAAATATACATATAAAAAAACCAGTCCTTGCTTTGGGCAAGTTAGAGGCACATGATAGTTTGAATGATAAACCTCACTGTGATTTAGAAGATGTCAATGGTGGTGTTGAAATGCAAGATTCTCTTATGTGGAAAACTTAGGTTGTCTTGCCTGGAAGCCTTAGCAGGAACACGAAGCATGCATTTCTAAACAAATACGACTCTATTCAGCCGGTTTTACGAGAATAACCATATTTATATCTTGCGCACTGCTTATCTGAAGTTTGTTGAGGACTAGAGGTATTGGTTCCTCTTTCTCTCTTGAAAATTATATCTTCTGATCCAAAACTTGTCTGTGGAGAAGTTTATGTAGAGGTTTTCGTCGAATTCTGTATGGATGCTTCCTTGTGTGATTGGTTCTTTCTCATTCTGCTGGATTCATGTTACAAACAAACGGCTTTTTATTCATTTGGTGCATTGGATTGTACTCTCTCTAGTTTAATGTTGAGACAATGGCTCTTTTTCTGAAAGAAACATGCAGAGAGTCTCTAGGCTAAAAATCAATTTAAGGAACATATACTAGTGCATTTTGTGTGGATTTCTGATAATGGCTGTAGAATTTGCTGAAATGAATGATTTTAGTTACTTGATCTGCCTTGTCTGGGTAGTCTCAACGCTGTCTACATATCTCTTTGGTCTCTCTATAACTGATTTCCTGATGTTTATTGTTCCTTGCTAGGTTTTATACTGTTAAACCCGGACATGGCTTCGAAGTTCGACCAAGCTTGGGCATAATTTTGAGGTAGATACTTGTCTTGTTCTTTAGATTAGTTTTTTTGACTCTTTAATTCTAAAGACAAAGTGTGAATCTTATATGAGCTCTGATATTTTCTTCAGAATTATAAAACCATTTGTGGTTTACTACACATCTGTCTGAGAACATATATGCAACAGAGATACATGTCTCTTTAGGCTTTCAAGGTTTGAGATTTTGTGGAACTAACGAAGTCAGGCTTTAAAAGTTTATGATTGGTTCTCTGAAGTCTTCATGTTAAATTTTTCTTTTTCATGTCTCTTCTTAAAGCCTTGAGTTTGCTGTGTGTCGAAGATTCACCATTTAGTTCATGCTTGTTTGACAATTTTTGTGGGTTGAAATTGTTTTAGATAAAWAAAAAAAAAAAACATTGAGCCGAAAATGAAACATGAGCCTAACTGAAATGCAAGATTGGAGTCTTAACCGAAATTATATGTTTAGTTGAGTATTAGGCAAAGTATTATAAAATTGTATGTTCGTAAAAAGTATTCAATCATTTTTTGGCTGTCATTTTCCCACAGTCCCACCGTAAGAGCCAAAACCGGTGGTTAAACGTAATACTTTTTTAAATGTGAAATTATTTCAAAAAATATTCCAGAATAAAATATCACTCAATTTGTTTAAGGGAAAATATGAAACAGATCATCGTTGTTATTCAATTTATTATCAACTTCCCGCTCTCGTGCAGCATTGGTGATTGTAGGTGTCAATTTCTCTATCATGCCTTCTAAAAATACGAGACCCACAGTATCGAATCTGGTTCTGTAATATTTTATTGTGAACACTTTCTTTTAATCGGTGGATTTTTTTTTTGTTCTTTGTTTATGTTGATGATGAAGTATATATTACATTATAGTATTAATGCTTATATACGATTAGTCTTATTGATTCCGAGATTTTTCATAGCGGTGGAGTTAAGACCATCTCCAACCTATTCTTCTATTGTTTTCTCCAACCCATTACTCCATAACTTCAAAATGGAGGAAAAAATGGGTTTACTCCAAATATGGAATAAAAATGGATTCTCTATTTTGGAGTGGACTTGGAGAGAATTTTAATCCAAATCTCATTTTGGACATGCCATAACACGTTCACACGGTGCGTTTTGTATTTTTATTTTTTTTTGTCAACGAGCCGACAATAACCACGTCTGGAAAGTGGAAACCACTATTCTTTTCGTTTTGCCGTAATAAAGGTATCTCTTTACTTTTCTGATACTAATATTTAGTTACGTTTTTAAAAAACTAACAAATCGTCTAATAGTATGACGAGAAAAATGTCCAATCGTATTATGGTTAGGACCTTGGGATTGTACAATTTTATCATAATTGATCAACTTCAAAGGACTGTATATTTTCAGCTGCGATATGATTAAACTGCGAAGTTAGTAATAATAATCTTTCAAATGTTTCAGTGTGGTTACAACTCAAGCAACATACCAACTACCAAGAGCCTTTTTGAGATACATTTAAGTAAAATTTATTCAATAAATGCATGAAAATACTACATTTTAGTAATGTGTGGCAATGTGTTCATTATAATTAAAGAAAGAAAAAAGAAGAAGATTTTGACTACGCTACGGATTTTGCTGATAAAACCCAAACAAATGGTACAAAATAACTTTTTATATAACTTACAAAAAAAAAAAAAAAGACCCATCATTACATGATCACACTATCATCAGAAGCTTCTTCCTTCTTCATAATTTTCAATTTGGAAG